CCTGGGCAGATTCGGGATGACAGTTCAGGGGTCCTTCCTGCATGAACCTCGCCTGATCCGTCCTGGGCTGCCTCTGTCCAGGGTCTGTGCTGTAATGGTGGCCCCGAAGGCGGAAGCAGGTCTGAGATGGGAGTTGGGTCTCCCTCTCCTACATACTTTCCCGTGAAGCCTCAAACCAGGGGGATATGGGGCCTGGGTCAACCAAAATTAATAAAGCTGCTTACCACCCCATGGCTTTGATTTTTTACTCTCATTCGGCATTCCTGAAAACCTTGTGATGTTCAGAAGCTATGTATAGGCTTGATTTTTCTCATGTTGCAAGAATTCCTAGGGTACTGAGAAATCACAGCCAATCACAGCTTCAGCAGACTCTGTAGGGCCAAGTGATGTCAAAAGCAAAATGAGGGGGAAATGTTTCGGATGACTTTTTTATCTCTATAAAAATAAATATAACACATATTTACTTATAAAAGATTATATAGGGGCGCCTGGGCGGCTCAGTCGGTTAAGCGTCCGACTTCAGCCCGGGTCACGATCTCGCGGTCCGTGAGTTCGAGCCCCGTGTCAGGCTCTGGGCTGATGGCTCAGAGCCTGGAGCCTGTTTCCCATTCTGTGTCTCCCTCTCTCTCTGCCCCTCCCCCGTTCATGCTCTGTCTCTCTCTGTCCCAAAAATAAATAAACGTTGAAAAAAAATTTTTTTTAAAGATTATATAAACATACATTTATATGTATGTATTACATACATACATGAGAGAGAGAGAGAGACTTTAGATATGATTGAAGTCAAGTTGGCCTAGAAGACACCCCAAAAGAGATCCAACCCCCAATAAGATGCAAGGAGCTGCACCCACTACTGACCCCCCCCACCCCCACGAGTGTCATTGTGTGCACCTTCACGCATCCACATGGGGGTCTCAAGTCAGAAGCCCCAGCCTCAGGCCAACACACGCATGGATATGGCACGTTCTGGTCCAACCCTAGGGGGAAGGTATGGTCGGCCTGGGTTGGGTAAAACCCCATAAACGTCTGTATATCTGAATGCAAGGCCACCAACATGAAAGATTCAGGAAATAAAGCTGGCAGAAGTTGATTCTCCAGGTGGAACCCAGTCCTTAGACGTGATGTGTTTTGTTGGACTTCTGTAATTTTTAAAACCTGCATAATTTTTTATTTATTTTATTTATTTTTTTTAACGTTTATTTATTTTTGA